GATCAAGCTAAGACCTGGCATGAGGGTATGAAAACCCTAACCAGGAGACTAGGCCACATAGGCCCCGTTAGGCTCCCTGGCTGACGACCTCGGGAAGGTCGTACCCGACGGTTAGAGACAGTGAATGATATGGCTGGGTGTCATAAACAGTGGCGTTCGCGCATCTTCTCAATTTATCTATATCATTAGCCCACTGAACTTTTTAGTTTTCTCTTCGATCCTTCTTTCAACCTTTCCTGTCTTTCTCCTAATGTTCATCCAAATGGGCAGCCGAAAGATAACAACCAAAACCGGTGTACGACAGTGCACGGTAAATGGTGTACAAACTGAAAACTGAAACTACCAAGGTCACGAATCGATTCGACATCTTGTCCTCACATACAGCCGCTAGTATCAAATCTATTATTAGACAAGTTTAATCTCGCCTATGAATCAGCAATTGGTCTACCTTTATTCATACACTTATCAAATTCCAGATCGATTTATCTTACATTTTAGAAAAAAGTATTGATATATATAAACTCCACCTAAAGGATAGACTCGGTTTCGCGGTGACTGCCGCCCGTCAGGTGCGCATATCCGGTAACCCATAGTCTATTCGTTCAGCACACTGGAACTCCGGATGTATTTTTGTCACAAATCGCTAATCAGCAACGGGGGACGTTGATTTTGCGGACAAGCTGTTCAAAACAGTTCGATGCTATAGACATATAGTGCAAAATACCACATTACGAGTCAGCGATAGATGGATGAGAGCCAGTGACGCATACACATCTAGCTTCCACCGGCATGGGCTTTCAGGTGACTGCCGCAACGGGGTACATGCTGCGGGTGCAGCTTGTTTTATTATTGTTTATTTCCAAATGCGACGAGAATTCCATCCGTAACGATTCGAAATAGCACATCACCGCATAAGCAACCCATTCAGCGTGAACAATCAGATTGTAAAAATAAAGATTATTCAGCATTTTGAGATGAAACAAAATTTTTATGGAATACACAACAGTATGAACAGTTTTTATAACAGGATTGAGATTGACCCATTGACAGTTCACCTAGGGGAGTTAGCTAAAAATCTTGATTCCAAACCAACCAAGAAGAGGCGTATAAACCACACGCACACCTTCCTGGTCGCGGTAGTGGTTACCGGCTTAACTGGGCATCGAGGTGTATTGGGTATCTTGGACGTTTGACCCCGCCCTAAGGGTGCATGATCCAGTGAAATGGACACCGGCCCCCAATGGACCTCGGACACTGAGCTCCGCTCTGTTGTCTTGCAGGTCAGGCTTTCTGGCCAAAGGCTTCGGGTGGGGACCCCGAGGCTATCCCCCATCCTCGGCCAGGGCAACCGGGAAGTAAGATGCCCACACAACCGGTGAACATATACTTCAAATTTCTTTCTGTTCACATGTTGTGGCACATTTGCCAGTTATCTGTAATCGGTTACGTGTTGAATAATGATAATGGTTGAAAAGGTATATATGCACACTTTCAGTTTTCAGTTTGAACAACCATTAACCATGCACTTTTGGACGCCGGTTTTGGTTGCTGTCTTTTAGCAGCCCATTGAGATGAAGAATAGGAGAAGAAAAGAAAGTTGAAAATGGATTCGAAAAAAAATGGAGAAGTTCAGTGGTCTAAGGTTGGAAACAAATTGAGGAGATGCACGAACGCCACTGTTTATGACACCCAGCCATATCATTCACTGTCTCTAACCATCGGGTACCATCATCCCGAAATCCCCAGCCAGGGAGCCTAACAGGACCTATGTGACCTAGTCTCCTGGTTAAGGTCTTCATACCCTCATGCCAGGTCTTAACTTGACCACGATTGGCTATTCTCCACTCGCTATCTGCTTCGGCGAACATCGCTCGCCGAGGTAACCAACCTAGGGA